ATTTATTACAACACTTATATCGTCATATTTCTTATTACGTGACTGTTTTAATTTCGTTAAGTCTGACTTTATTCAACCAATGTGAATATATATGTTTTTAAACAGATACTATAAAAGCTGTTCTTTCAGGACAAGCATAGTGTGCTAAAAGTGAGACGATGTCAAATGTTCACATAAATCTGTGAACACTACAAAGAAAAGAAAATTACTTTCGTCTGACTGCATCAGCTACTGCTGACCTTAAATATATAATTTAGTAATGTGTATACTAGAATTAAAATAACATGGAAATCAGTTAGGATGTCTAAAAAACAGTGTACAGTACACACAGAAAGTGACATTTTATTTTGCGAGTATGAAATGTGTAACAACACTAATAGACCTAGTGACACAGTCCTATGTAATGGCGCAATCATAAATAACTTTTCTACAATTCTCTTATTAGACGAATGCATAATGATATCCATCACGATAAAGCTTTATTATAGCACAAGTCTGTGACCAATTACAGAAACGTTTACAGTTGAGAAGTAATCATTGACCATCGTTTTATTAAATGTTTCGTCAAATTTTGTTAATTACTGTGCTGAGTGCCACGTGGGTTTGTGACGGTAAACCACACATGGCAATCACCTAATGTGTTAATTGTTTCGATTCAAATTTCTTTCTCATATATATATTCGCTTTTTTTCAACAACCTTGAAAAACATTGTTGATACTCGTTAAATTTCTTCCATTTCTCACTTATTCTTTTACTTCAATACTAATTCTTATTGCCGAACTTTCATCAATTTAAATAATTATTCCTTCATCAGCCGAAGGTACGCTTTTTCCACAATAAAAAACGCTTCCATACAAAGTGCATCCATCTGTCACAGTTTCAGCCTAACACGTAAATTATTCATAAAAAGTTTCACTTTCACTCACCTCGACCCATCCCGTCCCACTCGCAAATACGTAATAATCATTCTTAATATACAACAATCATACTATTATCAACAATCACACAATTATACATGATATCCAAAATAAAGCAATAACTACTTCATTTTGAACACTTGTCTACATTCATACCTTTTTACGATAATATCAAACATCCATCAGCATAATGTCGTTTTTCAAACATTTCATATATGAATAAGGATACGTCTCTCTCATATACTTAATACATTCACGCCTAGATGCAATTAAAATCCTCACCAAAGTTACTTTTATAAATAGAGTTAAGAAAAATGGTCCGAATTATTCGTAAATATAAACATTTCGCATTAAACAATTGACGGAAGATTCAACAAAGACCTCAGGTATTCTACAGATATATGCAATTCTGTGCATTGATGAAGTCAATCGTAGACCTCAGTCGTCATATTGTTGTGGCGCGCATCCAAACTATTGCACATTGATGCACTCTTGAATCTGTGATGCAATGCTAAGCGAAAAAGTCCAGAAAAGTAATTATTTTATGAATATATTCAGTTTTATGGTTGTAAATCATAGCCTAGAGCACTCCTGTCCTTCAAAGAAAGCTATTACATAAATTTCATCGCTATTCGTCCAGTACATAAAGAGATGGTAAGTGCCAGTGGTAAGTGCATGCCAAGG